TCAGCTTAAAACCTAAAGAAGGAAAATATCTGCAAAAAAAGCAAGAACAATTCTAAACAAGTTGTATTTGAATATAAGCAGCGCTCATGTTCTTTACAATCCTGGTGTGAGCAGGGAACCTAGAGAATTCAAGGAATCTGAAGACATGAAAAATTCTTTTTAAATGACTATCATAGGACCAGATAAAATTTTAAGCCCATTCTAGTCAAGCAAGAACAGCGCAATAGAGACACGGCATAGAAAATTCATGTGATAAAAGACATGTAATCAGTAAGTGTGTAAGTACTAAAGGAAAACAAAAATAAATGTAAGAAGAAAGAGTAAATATTTAATGTAAAAATAAAGGTTATCCTAAAACACTAAGAGGGAGGTAGTACTTTCTGCCTCAATAGGTTATTAAAGCTAATGAACTATATAAAGTAGATTTAAGGAGCGCTTTGAAGAATACGGCTTCAAGGCTGGGGGAATGCTATCACTGTGCCAGAATCTGCTGTTATTATTTCAGTGACTAAGAAAGTTATCTTAATCTGTGCAAGGCAATTGGATAGGATAATACCAAATAAGATACTTCAATATACGGTTGACAACTATATATACTGGCATCAAGCTGGATTTTCTGACTTTGTCCATCACCTGTGTCTTGCATATGTGGTATTACCTGGTCCTTTAGCACCTGACTGACCTAACTAAAACAGAACTGATAAAAGCTGCCAGTATGGTTTTGCTCAGCTAATAATCCTGTCCTCATTTTATTCCATCTTTAGTTCTTATCTTATATCACCTCATTTGTTATCCTCTGCTAAGTGTGGCAATTGGCATGTAGTGCTAGATAAATGCCATTTCTGACAGGGAGTGGAAAGAGGGGCATCTCTATCCAATTTATTCAAGTTGTGTGGCTGTGTGGAGAAAATAAAGACGCTAGTCTGAAGGCTAGGAGCAAAGAAGGCAAGCAGGAAAAATCCAGTGGCCAGGGCAGCAAGTTGGGGGGTCGAGGGGGCTGGGTTCTCTTTTTCATACCCCAACACAATCTTCCCTGCTTTCTAGGAGAGTCTTTGGAGCCACTCCTCCAAGTTAAGTGGTAGCTTTCCTCTTAAATGAACTCCCCCTTGTTGCTGGGGAGTAAGCTGGGACAGGGTGGATTCCTTGGCTCCCTTGAGAATTCCTGCTCATTGTCCAGGTGCAAAAAGAAATGTCAGACCCTTTTTTGCAGAAGTCTAAAAGGAGCTGCCCAGGCCTTAAGGAGCCAATGACCCAGACCCAGGGGGTCTCTCAATTTTTACGTTCTTGGCTACAGTCTGTAGGATCTCACTATGTTCCAAATGTATAATCTGTACCCACATTGTGGCAGGTACTCTTTCTCCACGAAAAGGAAGCTATAAGCCCTTACCAGATGCAATTTATAATGAAAGACGACAAGCGAGTGTCATGGATTAGAAGAAACTGCTTTCCGAGAGAAAAAAATGTATACATTGGAACCAAGAAAAAGAGAAAATCATTACAGCCAAAAGGTTGGGTCTTTGCACAGAAGTAAAGCTCATTATTGACATTAGTGCCTACTTGGAGAAACTGCTTAAAAGCTAGGACCCAGAGCAAGCATATTGCTAGAAATCTGTGGGGAGAAGCAAAAAGAGGGCTGTGGAGGAAGAAACTGTCCATTCAGGGATGACGTTCCACTGACAAGAAGAAACTGTCACGAGAACATACTGCAGTAATGCACTCATACTTCTGCCTGCAGGAACGTGGTCTGTTGCTAAGCTGGTGGTGCACAAAGCAGTGATCACAGGTCCTGAGCAAACAGATAAGTGGTGTAAACAGTAGGTTCATGACTTAGACTGAAGTGATCTCTTTCCAGAACTTGTCCTTATCAGTTTTAAACAAGAAGATGTTTCGTCTTGGTTTCTGTAAACTCTTGGCAGTTATTCAAGTCACTAGAAGAATGAAATGTCAAACCCATGAGCAGGGTAATAACCTGCTCTGACCTTCAACTTGTCCCCAAGTACATGCTCTTTGTTTAATATTCCTGAATTTTCCCAGAAATCTTTATCATAATGAGTAACTGTGGTAGTACAACATCCCCCAGGCTCCATATTTCCAAATGCACTGACTTACGGTTTTTCCGGTATTTGTGAAGCTGCAGTCTTATGAAGAGCTGCTGAACTGATTTGGTGCCTATTTTAAAGGATTATCCCACCTTTGCAAGCCAAGGCAGATCCTGCTTCGGGCAGCATGCAGTCAGGAAGAGGGCTCCGATGCCTTTGAAAAGCATACGACCAGTGGGACTGCTCCGGCATACTCATGTATATGTGTGTGTGAATCCACTCTTCGATATCCCTCTGAGACCCCTGGGATCTTGCTGATACGGTGCCCTAGGACAAGCCACTGCACACAGATGGCTAGGGAAATCCCCATACCTTGCAATATGTTAGAAATACGAGGATCAGGCGTGAAGTCCAGAGAAGCAAGCTCCAGAAGGACTATTGTGATTCCTTTTACAAGATCATGAAAGAATAAAATGTTGTGTCAAAATGCTGTATCATTTTAAACCTGAATCTGTAGGAAAATGAGACTCCCGTTCTGAGTTAACTCACACACATGCACACACACATACAGGTTGTATGTTTCAGACCCTTGGAAGCCCATTCCAGATCGTTCTGAGTATCTCCATTCCTTACTTGGAAATAACAATTAAATCCTTTGAGCCACAGGTCAATAGTCCATGTAATTTCCATGGATCCAGATATCACAATAAATACACAGAATTAAACTAGATCATGAAGGAAAACATTTCCTTGATCCATTCAGGAAGATGAAGCAGTTAGTGTTATTAAATTCTTCTCTGGCTCTTTTCTCCCAGTTTCTAAGCTGCAGCATGATCCTAATTCTCAGGAAGTGTGTGTTTCTTTTTACACTGTAGGGAACACCAGGTTCCCACCACAGGAAGTCTTTACTCGTTGAGATCGAGAGCAGCAGACTGGGAAAGTGGCATGTGTCTTCACCACACGTATGAGTGAGAGAGGAAGATAGTGCGATCGTAAATGAAACAGAACAATGCCTCATAAAGCACGACATGAGGCATCCAGCAAAGGGGTGGCTACATCTGTTGTCTGTCTAACAAATGCTCACTTCTTATTGCAGGCTCTGTGTTCATTTTGTCATTTCCCAAATTGTAGTGGACAGAGCTATATATTTCCACTGAGGGAAAGGGATAATTAATCTGGGGAGGGGAGAAGCTAGAAAGCCAGGAAAAAATTGTTTTGTGTTGCCAAGACTAGTTTTATTTTGTGTCTGTAGAAAAGGAGGAGTGCTGTACAGAGGGAAACGTATAGGAAAAAAACATCATAATTGATGCTAGTGGTAACGTTTATGGTGTTTTGCAGTCAGAGACAATTAAAACTGCCACATGACCAGTCTTGTTCTCTGACCTCACTGTTCTGTGCTTTTTCCTCACATCAGTCCATGGCAGTCATCCTTTGTTACATGGAGGTGTGGTTGTCCTCCTCCATATGTCTTTGACTCTCTCTTCTCCCCCTCTCTCTCTTGCTTTCTGCAGCAAATAAAATTGTTGCGTGCTGGCTTTCAAGGCTGTAACTGTATGAGCTATTCAATCCATAATTCTCTGCCTCTGCAACCAATGCCAGTGATTGCAGCACTGGCAGGAAGGTGGCAGCTGTAATGCGGAGAGAGAAAAACATGCTGGTAAAAATACAGCTACACAGTATTGTCTACCCTGCTCATACTGGTGGCAGTTTGCAGCCGCAGTGTTGAACAGAATGCCCCTCTCCCCATATACGCTACACCAGTGATATGTCAATTGGATCTGAAGATCCTTTCCCCACAAAGAGGTTTATTCAGGAACAAGAAGCAAAAAGGGCAGCAGTATGGTAAGTGGATGTTTTCTACAGCTAGTATTTTAAAACTAGAACTGGGGTAGGAAGGGAAGGGGTTAACAGATGGCTTCTCAGCACTACTCGGCAACAGCCAGCCTAACTGAGCTGCCCTGAGACAGTCCAGATGTGAATGCTGCAGAAACAGTGTGCAGTACTGGAACCTCAGACCTCCTCACATTTGCCGGCTGCTGTGAATGAACTGAAACATATAACGCAGTGGTGAAATCTTGGCACTGCTGAAGTCAATTGCAAACTATCACTTTCCGTACAGTTATGAATTCACTGGAGATGGGGCTCTGCCTGACAGAGCTTTACAGATAGCACCAAAGTATGGAGCGCCCTCAGTGCCCAGAGTGACAGGATGGACAGCAGGTTGATGCAGCAGCCCATTTGGCCCGCATTCTGCTTCTTCCTGTGCCTTGCACTGAGTAGACAAAGAATAAGAAGTTCTGTTGTAACTTGTAATGGAAAACCTATTCATAAGTAATGCTCTTTGCTTGTGCCCAAAGATAAAGGTGATAAAGGTCCCTTCTTGCAAGAGGGACTAGCTTCTGTGGAAAGACTATGTTATCTTAATATTGCATGTTACTATCATTTGTATGAGGGACTAGTCCTCCGTTGAACCCTGTTGAAGTGGCTTCATATATACCTTGTAGCAATGAATTCTGTAATCTAATTGTACAGTGTGAGACTTTGTTGCTTTTAAAGAGTGCTAAATCTTTTGATTTACTATTTGTGTACTGGAGGAAGAGTAAGCAGCACAACTCAAGAGCTGTCTATCTTCAAACCGGAAAACATTGTTTTCTAGTTGACTATTATCTTTGATGAAGAAGTCTAACACACTCAAAAATGCAATATGTTATCTTGCTCTGTTATTAGATGCAAGAATTAGGTTCTTTTATATTGCTCAATGGCTTTTTTCCAATAAGACTTAATATTTGAACAAGCAAATAATTCTTACAGTTTTAATTAATCATTACTTTCTTCTGGTGTTCCTTCTTATTTAGCACTAGAAGTTGTATTAATTGTCATATGTTGTATTAACATACTACTGCTACTTTCTTTATGGATGCTTAGATATGGCATTTGTAAGATAATTTGTTGTTTGTGCAGGTTGCTGGTGACTGCAGAAATCAAGGCTACAGCATGGGCTAACATCTGTTACAAAGTTTGGAAGATATACTGGTGAATATGACAAAAGTCTTTGCACCTGACCACCCTGGGTGGCATTTGAGTAAGTTTGAAGTTTTCTATTGTAGAAAAGATCCCATATGCTGCAGTAGATATGTCATTTTTTGGACCTAAACATTCTTTAAGAAGCATTTGGAACCTTTGCCTGTTTTGAATTTCAGCTGCATGAAAAAAAGGGAAGGACTGAAATGCAATAAGAACAGTTATTTTTTATTATAATTTAAGCTGAATCAGTGGGAGATAGCATCATGATAGTATGAAAAAGTAAGCAGAAAAAAAAACATTAAATTATTGAGGTAGCTCCACAATCACTGACAGAGGTTTGCAGCTGAACGCCAGGTTAGGTGTTCCATGAGGGCTCACATCAGGCTCCCTCTGTGAGGAACTGTCTTTTTGTTTTCCTGTGTAGAGCTGGCATAATGGAATATGCGATTGAACCTTAAATTGTACCTACTAGTAGCAGAAATAAAGAATGCACAACCTAATGGAAAAAACCTTGAAACATACCATGGTGATCTCAGGTTTTACTTTGCTCCCGTTGCTCCTCACTTGTCTGACCCCAAACGTTTGTTCTAGGAAACAGGATGACTCACCCAACAGAAAACTGAAGTGAGTGTGGCCGTATGTGGCATTACGTATGGTAGTGTAACTGTGAATCTCAAAAGACTGCACAGCCCGGTATCTTACTGTAAAGGCAGGAAAGTCTAAATAGCGCTTATAAGGTCAAAGCACTCAGATAAATGAGCGACACATTGCTTTCTACACTTCTACCATATCTGAATACCAAAAGATGCATGTTAGCTGATAGAGAATATGAAAACCGATCTATCATCTAACATAGATACTTCCTTGTTTCTCATGGCACAAGGTCATTTTTTCAGAACTGCAAGGTGTGACACTCCTGTTAAATAGGAAATACTATTTTATCAGTGTTTCTCATCACTGTGCTAGGAAAGATAGCAGGTGAGTCAGTGACAGGAACCCTGCTAGGGTATGCAGGATGCAGACATTTGACAGTGTCTTTTAACATCTCATGTTATAAACTCCCGAAAAGTGATGGGCTGCCGTTCATTTTGGACTGGCTGTATGGCGAAGGAAAGGATTGAAGGCATAGCTGTCTCAAGTGCTGTTGGGTCTGAGCACCCTATGAATAGCCCATTCGTTCCATCTCCCCTTCCAAAACCCCTCTTCATAAGCTGTACCTTTCTGTTGTTCCAGGCGGTGGGAGCTGCTGCATGAGGCTGTGGCCTTGCAGAGAGTGGCTGCATGTCCTCCAGTCCTGTGAGATACCACTGAAGGGAATGGACAAAGCCTGAAACATGGCATTGCATGTGATGGAGAAGACAGGGTGTGGAAGCTGTAATGGCTGGGGTTTCTGACTAAATGGCAGACAACTGGTTGAGGTTTAAGTCCGACTAGTGAGGAGTTCATCACTGTGCTTCTGCTTCCTTATTGGCATTGCTTGTGAGTTCACCTGCACTAGATAGATCATCAGCCATATGACTGTCATCTGGGTGTTACTTTTTTCGAATAGTAACAAGAATGGGGAATGGGGCAAAGCATGACAGGCATTTTATTTTTGTCTAAATCATCCAAATATTCTGTCAATTGAATCTCTGTTGCCTTCACATGAACCTTATCAGAGATGAACAGGATCAGCAGAAAGAATCTCTTCATTTTATGGCCTTGTCAGACAGGCTCTTAAAATGAAGGAATAGCTGACAATACTGATTTTTCTTCCATGGTCTGGTTGGTACAGCCTGCAAATGACTCAGCTGTGTTTCGTGATCCAGGGCAGTAGTATTTCCTGACAACCATAAACAGACCTAGCAGTGTGATTATCTTTACAGATAAGATAAGTTACTGCTAAGTATTAGCAGTAACTGGCTGGGTGGGAATCTTTAGAGCGATCTCGTTGGGCTTGTTTATAGAAAGAGTGTTGAACTACCAAGATATAGTTTATGAGGTTAGTTGAATCTAGCAACAATTTCCTGGGCACTGTTCAGACTCTTTTGTTCTTTTAGATGGTGATGATTTTTATCTTAAAGTGATGAAGAAGTCTGTTTTGAAGTGCTCCTAGTGTTCTTACGGTTCCTCCATCACCAAGACATACCTATGACATCAAATTTGTAACTAGCAGAGCCATGGGGAAGAATCTGCAAATTCTACGAGGCTCTGCAGAGACAATTCAGGAAACAGAAAGTCTGTTTGTTGGGGCTAAGGTTGCCATATTGCCACTGTTTCAAAAATCAGTCTTGCTGACTGAAAGAAGGATAGCTTCTCTGTGAGCTCAATTACTCATCTCTGCTGCAAGTACCTACTGGGTTTTGAAGGAAAATAAAAATTCAGTGAGTGAGGATTTATGAGACAAACTCATCAGGACAGTACTCAGTGTGTACTAGGGGGAAGATGGCTTGGTTGGATTCTTCAACTTTGAATCAGTGCTGGGGTGAGGCCTGAAGCTGCGATAGATTTCTTTGGGTCTAATCCTTTTGCCATTAGAGATCCACAAGAAAACCAAAGGTGCTGGCAGATTGCCACACATTTCTATTGAAATTAATGGTTATAGAAAGAGTCCATCTGTCTCTTCCTCAAAATATACTTGGTTGCACTTTAATCAGAAGGCTGGGAGTTAATCCAATAGGCCATGTACCAGCAAAGACGACTTTACAAAAAATTCATCATCCATCAGTCAATTCAGACACACAAAGGTCACCTTTCTTTCTGCCTATTTTGTTTCAGATTTTTTCAGTAAGTGAAATCAGATGTCAAACTTCCCTCTTAATACAATCACTGTAGCCTTTTCAATTCAGCATTAGAGAGTACATCCAGAAATACAAGAAGCTGCTCAGTCTATCTCAGCTGAATAAACTTGTATTAAGTAAATGTTTCTTACAAATGTTAGTCTGTGATGCGATTTTAGAGAAAACCTGTGATGTATTCAGGCATCTCAGAGAAGTGCATGGTATAATGCATGCAGAAGAAAGGCCCAGAAGTTGCCCCACTATAGTGGCTATGATAAACAGGTTGGATTTTTTCCTAATGTTCAGAAGTTGTTAAAATTTTTCCTTTCAGGAGACTGAAAGCTATATGCAGCACTGACGAGCTGTTAGCCGTGCTGGGAGACAACAATCTGGAGTAATTAGCAGATATCCTCCCATCTTTCTTGCCTGTGGCCAGCATCTCCTTTGTAGGGGCATGCAGCTCCCACCTCAGTTCAACCTCTGTCCCAGCCTCAGGCTGGGGACTCCATGGAGGAGCTCATAACAGACACCCTCTATATTCAAATCCACATCTTGCAATGCTTCCTAGTTTTATTAATCCCATATACTAATTGCAGGACTGTTGCTACAGAGGAGGCTTTATTCACTATAAAAGCCAGTGAAAGCCAAACAGATACAGGGAGCTCCACGAACTAATGAAGTCAGGTTTCCTACAGTTGTGTTTTTTACACACAAATTGAGAGATTTTCCTGTTGTTGAGGTATTTATAAGGTCTCTGCTTCTCCCTCTCTTGACCTTTCCAAGTCTAATATTGCAAAAGGTCATTCACCTCTTTTTAAATGCAGGCACTCTGTAGCAACCTTTTCCTCTGCACTCAGGTGCCTGTTTCCATGAAACTCATGGGAACTGAATTAGCTCTGAGGCCTTCACCTTTCTGTCAAATCTGAGTGGAACCAGCCAGTAAGTAAAATATAGCAATAACAACAAAAAACCCTTACAATGGAGGGACACAGAGAGAGGCAGCCTGCCTTGTTCTTCAGGAAATCGGGTCAGGTTTTTAAAGAAAACAGAGAAGACAGAGAAGATGTGTGTGATGTATTTGCTATTGATGCCTTGTTGTTTTGACTGCAGTGGACTTCATGCTTTCAGTATATTCCTTGATTATGCTTTGCAAGGCTGATGTAATTGTCTAGAATCAGCAATTCTTGTACCACAGAGTGCATTTTGTTATTTTTTGCCAACAGTGATATACTGAAATTGAACTAGATGTACTGTCCTCCCAGCCCTTTGGTTCATGAGGAAGCGCTGCACAGACAAATTGTACTCATCTGTGTGTGTTTTTAATCTTTGCTCTACACTAATGGCTTTATCTTGCTTTCAGTTCTACTGATACAATCTCTGAAAGGAGTAGTTCAAGAGCGGGTGACTCCTTTAAGATGCAGAGTCCCTCCTTTGGACTCTTTCTCTGTGCATCTGCCGCATCTCCTACAGAAGTCAATGGAGATTTCGCTACCCCTGTGGGCAAGCCCAGGCCTCTAGAGAGTGTTTGAGCTGTGAAATAAGTTAGCTTGATAGTTAACTCATGCCGCACTATGACGTTAAGCAGTACACAGGGTCCAGTAGGAGTCATGCAGAGCAGTTAAAGGAGATAAAGCGTTATAGACTAGAAGAAATCAAGATAAGAGACTATTTCATGCAGAAATAGGAATGCCCCCTCTCCCCTTCCCTTTCTTGTATTACAGTTCTCTCTCTTTTGCATTCTTCCCCAAATTCTTCAGTCTGTAACCATGGAAGGATTGTTCATCACTCAGCTGGTACAGCTGTGTTATCTGCAACTTTGATATCAGGGGTTTAAAGAATCCTGTCATTGGAGGTCTCCTATCTGAATCTTTCCCAATTGTCCTCCAGACAAAAGCAGTGAAAGTAAAGTGAATAGATTGTTCTTTAGAGCTACTTAAGGACATTTTTTTCCCCCTGTAAATCCAACAATTCCCAGTACTATTAGGCTTTAGTATTGTCCTTGACCCAAATAATATCCCACAGTTAGAGGAACTCGCAGCTCTTTCGCAGCAGCAAGATCTGAACATGCTTTGTCTACGGCAGAAATAGCTTCCTTCAGCCAGTCCAAAAAAAAAAAAAAAAAGTAATTATGGAAATACACAGTGTATTTCTTTGGTAGCTGTTTCAGGGACAAGGGACATCATTCATCACAGATCCTCACCAGCTGCCGCGAAAAGAGCTGAAATGCACAGTAGAATATATGGTATTAGATTAAAGATAAGTCAATAGCAGGAATACCAACTACCTCAAAACTCTTTTAGCAGAAGGTTAGCAAACCTAGTGTTTAGCATATGTTGCATTGCATTGAGAAATGAAAGACACACTGGTTTCCAAGAGCATAAAAACATCTTAGCCTGATAATGTCCACGGAAACTGCATGTGCTTGTCCTGCTATGTTTTCACCCTGTGTTTGCTACCGCACCCCAGTCAATGAGGTTCCAAAGCAAGCCAGGACTCCTGTTTCTGTTAGGGTAGACAGGGCTAGCAAGGCCTGCCAATGTCAGGGAGCCAAGTTTTCCTCTTCCACAGGTTACTCTCTCTCTCTTTTTGCTGCAGCTCAGAAGGAGGTGACACCTTATTTGAGGGGAAGGTTTTGCCCTCCAGCAGTACTCACAACTCACAAAGGTAAGCACCTCTGCAGAATTGCTTTTGGTAGAACAAAACTTGGGATTAACCATTTTATTGGGCAGAAGACAGATGCAGTTTATAAGCTTTGCCTTCAAGAGGCCACTTTGCTACTATTCACAGGTTTGAAAAATAAAGTTAAGCAAGACAGTTATCCCAGGAAAATATTTAGGTTTACAGCAGCGTGATAATGGTAATACACAGGAAATAGAGAAACACTGTCTGCCTTAAAAAAAATGCAGCGTAATATAGGAACAGCAATGAATGTGAAACAAATTGTCAGATAATCCGTAATTGCAGCACTTCTTATTTCATTTATATCACTAGCCATAGCAGGTAATTCAAAGGGACACTGTTATCTGAGGTCAAGGTTAACGCCAAATGAAAAATATTACATAGAATAGGGAACAGAAATATTTGTAACACCTGTTTGGTAGTTCTGATGGAAGAAAACATACCTTTTCACTGTTTAAAATTCTCTGAATAATTGAGATTCCTGGCCCTGATTTTGCTTGTAGTTTCACTATCCCAAAGCGGGTTGCCTTTATTTCATCCCACAGCAAATACTTTCATATTAGCATACAGAGGATCTTCCTAGCAAACACATCCCCTGCCCAGATGGTGGCTCCTGCTCCCAGGGGAATTTCAGTTCAAAAACGCTCACTTCATTTCTCCTACTTCTGGTTAGACAGCCTTTTTGGAGCTAAATGAAGGTATTATCTTCTGAGACTACTCTGCCTGCAGGAAATGAAAAGTCCAGGAAAAGTGAAGGATCACCTAGAAAAATGACTCATTCTGCCTTATTTGACTTAGCTAGCTGCTAATTGACTCAAATTAGCTCTATATTACCTGGGATCAAATCAGTGCTCCAACCTAGGGAAAGTAAGAGTGGTTCCCTGGGCCTTGTCGCTTTGCTGTGTCTAGGTCCGTGCAAGGTACAAAGACTGATTTAATCCTTAGTCCCCCTTCTTAAAGACAACAGAGCCTTCTTCACTCTGCTGCTAATTTGTTGATCATCCACAGAGAGAAAAGAGTTTGGCCTGTATAAGTCCAGATGCAACCAGCAGGGCAAATTACTCCCAGCAGCCCACTAGCAGGTTGCAGGTTGTACTGTGAGTTCATGCAACTCTAGATGCTGGTTTGGTGCATGCTTCCAGCCAGGGCCCTCCCGCGGGTTGACAGAGACCTTCATCACTTGGCCCTCAGAAAATGGCGGAGTACCGCTCAGCTAGTTCACATGCATTCAGGGAAAATAATTAACAGCAGAAGAAAATCAGCTGGATTCTCCCTTTAGAAGAAAAACATGAACACACAGGTGTGCTCTGCACAGGTGTGTTTTGGGGCTGAGAAATTCACTCTGTGTGACTTTAAGCTAGGAGATTTACCTCTACCTGTGTGGCTGGTGAAGAAAGGCATTGATCCATTTAAGGCTAAGCTCTGGCCTGACTTGCCTGGGACTGGTGCAGGAGGCCTTCTTTGCTTAATGAAAGCCTGGAGAAACCAGGGGAAATCTTTGTTTAGGGACCTACCCTTTACTGACCCATGCAATCAGTATTTTATGGACTCTCTCCATCTATTCCCTCTGTCATTGTCCTTTTTCTGCATTATTCAGAACTGAAATTAGCCCAGAGGATGATGCTTTTGTTACAAGAAAGGCCAACAGGGATCTTGACTGGGGAGGAGAACAGCTGCCTCACTGCTAAGTATATATTTCGAACAAGGAGACAGTGACATGCATCACCCTGCTTACTGTGTTTGCCCTGGCTACCCATCGCTGTCTTCTGCATTAGGGATTTTATTATTATTATCTCCTTGCTGTTAACAAGATTGCTTACCAGTGTCCACAAACACACCTGCTGCTGGACACTGTGATATGGATGTAATTCCAAGAAAGTGCAGGCTTCAGCAGCCACACCGATGCCAGATATTAATCTGGATGAGCCAGCTTGTGTGCAATAAGGACATGATCCATTTGTGTTTCAGTCCACCTCCTTCCCTTGGCACTGTCTAAGACTAACACCTCTCAAGGAGATCGCCCTTCATCCCAGAGCCTTCTCTAGATGCAGTTTGTGGCAGAGCAGATGGCTGGTAGATTTTTGGGGTTTTGTGCCTTCCCAGAAGCGTCTGTTTGCAAGGACTATATGTTGGGCTCTGTGATGTTAGATGAGCTCTAGCCAAACCAGAGCAGATGTCAAAGCAGCATTAGGTCAAAAAAATGTTTTTTTTTTTCCTTCTGTAAGCCAGAAGTGGTAGAGTTTGCCAGGGCAGGTGAGGCAGTTCGTGCATATGAGTAGTGTCACCTTTTTATTGGTATTCAGACTTCAGCACAAACCCATTGCCAAACAACTGAGGACATCTCCTATGCCAGTTGCTCTCTTTTCCTTCCATGATGCTTGGTGGTACTTGCACAGCTGACCCTCACCTCTGCACTCTCAGCTGGTAAGTAATACTAAAGACAACTATTAGAAGTGCCAGTGGGGGCAAACTGGCCTTGTCTGGAACACAGCAGTGCCTGCAATGTGCCTGAAGAAAAATCACACTGACATCAATCCCCTATGCAGTGCCTTTTCTGTAAGCAAAAGATGCACTTCTCTCAGGATGTGATAGATAATAGAAGCGCAGGTGGCTTACTGAGATATTCATTAAGATGAAAAAGTGGGAAACTCCCAGGTATAAATAAAGCAAAGCTTCTTGCACAGATTGCGAGTTACACTAACACTTTTTCGTGCTAGTTTAGCCAGGGCTGTAGACTTACTTCTGGATCAGGTTCCTTTGCACTGCCTGAGCCATATAAAGGCAAACAAGACCTGAGCCCTTCATAACTTACCTCTTTCCATTTGCATGGACACTCTGTTTATTTTGGGTGCTGGGCAGTGTGGGGAACAGAAAGGACAGTGGTATGGAGAGGCCAAGAGCAGGATGAATGGGGCTGAGGACGTGGCAGGTTTGGCTCTGCTGTGTTTGTTCCTACCTTTCCCAGGGCAACACACTCTACCAGGTTTTAAACAGGCTCTTAGCAGGACAGGTGAGTGTGGGGGTTTGTCCACGAAACTCTTTTTTTAGGGAAAAATGTTTACTAACAATATTGAACACTAACGAGTTCCTGCTTTCAGCCAATTTTTGCTAGCAGCTTTACTGAAAATCATTTGCTGTTCCAGTTGGGAAGAAAATTGGATTTTAGGAAAAGTTTTGTTTTGCTGTTGTTGTTTTTTTTTTTCTAAAGTAGATTATGAAATATAACGGAAAAATGGGTTTACTGACCCTCATGAAAGAGCCTCACATGCTGAACAATAGGGCATATTAGCCTGGAAGAGCCTACTGTTTCCGGCACCCAAGCTAATTGTTCTTTAAGTTCTGTGTGTTGCCAGGCACATAAGTCAAGCTGTTCAGAGCTAGCTTTGGCTAGCAGCATCTCCTAGCTACATAAGATCATGCTGAAATCCCCTTAGTCAAGAAAATGCTAATAGCAAATTAACAAGAACTGGCCATTGCCATGAGAGGTGAATTTCTACCACCAGTATGGAATAATATCAAGGCAGACAGACGGTAAGCAATGACAGAGTAGAGCTAGATGTTCATAGGGGGTCAGACAATTGTGGATGTGCTTTTTCTTTTCCTTCATTATGGTTAGCAATCAAGAGCAGGCAATGGATATGTGGTGTTGGCTTTTTGCCTTTACCAAATCCGAACAGTGCACAAAACTATACCTTCATTTTACGTTAATTTTACAGTATAATAAACTGCGCTGCAGGGAGACAGGAAGGAAAGCAGTCTGTTAAGCCTCCCTTTAGAAATAAATTATAACCAATAATTATTTTTATCAGTTTTTCTTATACTTTTCCCCTCCTGCCCAGTTCTCTGCTACCTGCCTGGAAAACAGTACCAAATTTAAATTCCAGTGAAGTGGGATATTTTCCCTAACAATACATATAAACAAACATATCCTCACACCCTTACCTTCCTCTGCTTCAGACAGCGCAGCTGACCTCCAGTTCGTCTCTGACCCAGCGCTGGTACAGGGAATCCTCTGCTGCGGAGATACAGGCACATGCAGTTTCATGCCTTTCTGGTGGCCCGGTGATGAAGCAGTAAGGGGAAATTTGACATGGAAGGCTAATATTTCCTCACCATTGCCTGTCAACTGGTTGCAAGTAATTCAAAGCTTTGCAGGACACCTCTGTTTCATTCAAAGATCCTGTTAAGTATCTGATTTGGTGCTTTTTTATTTAGGGGATGCTGGGAACTTCTCTGCCTATGATCCTCATATTTTACTATGCAAGAAATAGTTTGGTCTGGGTTGAGATCTCAGAGGGAATACTGTAGTTTTATGGCCTAATCATTGCTCTGACCAAAAAGCCTCCTTGCCCACGACAACTGTTACAAATTATCCAAGCTGAGATGAAGAAATTGGCACAAATAGGAAAGGAGGAGATAACTGACACATCTCTTTAGAGATGTGCTTATAATAATAGGCAACAACAGAGAATAGTCTATAGTCTATTTCTCAATACTCTTTAAGAGTATCTGGGGACAAATATTTAATTCCCTGAGAAAGGTGTTGATGGGAAGGGAATTCCCCCTTGGTCATGTTTTAAAGGGAAGCTCGGGCAGCTTCTGAAGTCTTTCCAGAGGAGGGATCAAATAATCTTAACAATATACATTACATTTGATTTCTCCTTGTCAATAAACATCCCAAATGTAACTACTTGTAAATGTAAATAGCATAATGAGCAAACACAGGTTTCTTTTTTCAGGCACCGCAGGTCAGATAGAGAAGTCTTTGCCCAGTTAAGGAGATATGCATGGCAAGGAGATTTCCCGTCGTTCCTCCAGAGAGGGTCAAAGAAGCTATTTAATGTATTTTCCTGCTCTGCACTTGTCATATACCACCATCAAGTCTGCTGTGGAAATTAATGATTTTAAGTCCTCTACCTCCTTTCAAGAGTGGCTGAAGTTGAGGTGTGGATCAAGTATTATCAAACAATAGAGTAAGCCCTCACACACATACGCGCAGCGCAACTGCAACCGCCTCCATTCCTTAGGGAGGACATGTCTGTGTGTGCACGCGTGTGCGTGTGTGCATGTGCATGCATGTGGGTGCCTGCAGTTCTCTTCCCACTCAAAACAGTCTTTCCTCTAAACTTTCCTTCTCCAGCCTAAATTTCAAAGCATCTCACACCTGCCTTTGTGACATACTCCAACTTTGCTTTTTGTAGGATGCATCTGACCTTGTCATGTTTTTTCCATTTGGCAAGCACGTACGTCTCAGGAAAATCACAATTCATAGTTCCCCATCTATTCACAAACTCCTTGTGTTGTTTCCAACCTAAAATTTTGTAGCTTTAATGTGGTTAAAAATGAATTAAAAACTGATTTCACAGTCCTCAGGTCTTTAGGATTTGCACAATACCTTATCTAAAAAGGCCCATATTTCCTGGGACTACTACAGGACAAATAATAACTAATAATGGCTATTTTCTCAAATAAGGTTGCAGACTGCAATTTTCTCTAACTTGTGAAGTCCTAGTTATTGGAAAATTTTGTTGATTACGGGAAATTTTTAACATTACTCAAAGACTTTAAAAGTTTTATAAATGAAATTAAACAATTTCTCCGTGTGTGTGTGTTTCTTTTTTTTTTTTTCAAAAGTATCCTTCACCCAACCACGCACTAAAAAAAAGCCAAACATCCTGACTGGCAAGGACGACACACTGTGCAGTCTGAAGATTAAACAGCAAGCTGTCAAACTGAAGAACAGCTTTCAAAACAACCTGTGAACAAACATGTCTCAGTTAAGAAACATATTGGAGGCTTGGTGCAAATGGGACCACAGGACTCCAGACGTACACGACTCGAGGAAGTTATTGTCTGGTAGTTTCACATTGGGCTGCAGATGAAAAACTCCTGCTTAACCAAATTCTGAGCTCCCTGGAACATGGACTGTTTTTCTTCCTCTGTGTTTGCACAGCAGGTAGCACAGTGATGTGGCAAGATGCTGCAAATGCTACTTTAACACATATGATGGTAGCCTTGCAAATTGCAATTCAATCTAGAACAGATATTTAAAAAAATATTTTCAGAGCTGTTGCAAATCCAAGATAATTAAGCCAGAAAATATTGAATCAAGTCACACACCATTAAGTCCTTTTTATTATTATTTATTGTTCTTATTGTTATTCACACTTAGACAACTTAATTACATAAAGTGATTTATGTGAAGAGCTCTGTATCAGTAATATAAGGTTTATACATTAATGTGAAAAAGTGTATACACCACAGTGAAACATTCTGTAGCTATACTGAAGTAGGACCTTTGTTAGAAGGGATTATTTCCTAAAGCCTATGCAGAAATAAATTTAACTTTCGTATTCATATACAGACTTATATTCACAGAGAATGTACCAATTCAGACATATAACAGTTTAATCTACTGAATAATGATCCATACACATGAAAAAAACTAGAATTTTCTTGGGGTTGCTTGGATTGGCTTCCATGGCAATAGATTTTTTTTTTTAAAGTTTGAAATAAATAAGACTGGGGACTTCAGATTTTTCTTACACTAAGTTGAAAATGAGAGCTGGGAGAGTAAGAAAACTATGAAGTTGGAAACAAGTTAAAAAAGCTTTATTACAAAAATAGCCTCTGTCAGTTATAACATGCTGCTCTTTGTTACTTTCATGTGACAAAACAGAGGTCTGATCTTAATTTTGATGGGAGATTAAGAGAAGTATTTGTTTTTTACTAGATAGTTTGACCCTGAAAACTTTAGCTCTTTTGTAAAAAAGATGCGATAGAAATAGCTCAGCTGTTATAAACTTAAAATAGGAGGGGTTTAATTTACTGTGATCTGAGTGGGAGAAAATATTTGAGCAACAGGATGACTTAATTGCATCGCTGGGCTTGACTGCAAGCATTATATTCCTTCTTCTGGAGTGAACAAGGATGACAGCGTTGAGCCCCTGTGGCAAAGTCAGTGTGTACCATTTTCTACATTCACCCAGGGAATTTTAGGAGAATGAGCAAACTCCGTCTTACTTACAGCTTCACTAAGGCAAAACTATATCCTGCTTTACTGTACATAAATTTGATGGTATTTTACATTATACCTTAAACAAAGACATAAAATGGATTCTTTACGTTAAAACTATCATCCCCCATTTAGAAACCCTGAACTAGTCTGGGTTTTTTTATGGCTTCTCTTCACATTAAGACAACTATGTGACGTAAGATAATGGTTAAAAAAAAGTAGTAAAGTGCAAGATATTTAAAAACACACAGATTTCATTCAGTTTAGTTTGGTTTTCTGTTTGATGAGGGGTGGATTTACAGTAAATCTACATGAATGTACAGTTCATTTATGAATCTCTAATTACATTATTTCTTATTCGATCTCATCCCGGCCAATTTACGGTCCGTGTAGGAACAGCGCGGTCAATTGTGTGTCCACTCTACCCGTGCTCAATTTGGTTACACGGCTTCTAGCCTGGGGCTGCCTTGCATCTGGCTGGCAGGGAGCACAGCTGCAGCGCCCCGCTGATGTGAGTACATGGCTTCTGCAGAAGAGATGGCTTGTGTGCAGCCAGCGTGGAGCATGGGCAGGGAGAACGTGCAAACTCTGCACCCACCGAGGCAGACAAGTCCTGAGATGTCACACACTGGCAATTAGCAACACACAGCAGGTCCACAGATGACTTATCTATCTGGACTCTGGGGCTGTGATCCATACATCTTCTATATCTTATGGGTGCAATACATTGCATAACTTTGGTCTGGAAGTTTGGGGACTTATCCTTCCCATTCCCAAAGGAAATGACTCATACCCCACTACTGATATCCCTGTAGCTCATGGCAACAGATCCAAGAAGGATCATTTAAAAATATCAACCAGAAGTGAAACCCACATCTGTGTGGAGGGCTGGAGCAGGACTCTGACCCACACTTTTCGGTGCAACCTATCCCATTTGTTAATCTGAAAGTCATCCTCTGCAGCTGTGCTTCCAGATGCCTATTCTTGCAACAGCCTTTTCAGGAAAAGCAGGAAAACAACCAGCCCCTCACAGGAATGAGCCATGCCTCTTTCTCAGTTAGCGGTGTCACTGTTATTTACAAGAGGTAAAAAGGTTTCCAAAATACAAGCGGATGCAATTTCTCTCCTTGTACACAGCTCTCAGGACAATTATGTTTGTTACATGAGTGCATTTATGAAATACTGGATGATATGATAGAAATCTGGATCTTGTCGAAGGCAGTGGCAGAAACCTCCCAGACTTCAGTGGGCCAGTGGTTGGAAAAGGGATTATTTCTTTGTTATAAACTAAATAAATCCATTTGATACAGGCTCATATTTGATTCAGATCATACGTAGTAAGGACTGCAGGATGCTATTTTAAGGAATTACTCTTGAAAAGAGAATCATAAAAAAAATATATCCCCTATTTCTCGAAATATTGTATTGACATAAATGACAACCAGAGAAATAATCCCCTGAAAAATGCCCAGACATTAACAATATTTCTCAGTATCTTTTTTACAGTACTTGGATTAACCACCTGTTTAACCTACCTCTTTAGGGACTTTCTTACTCATACACAACAGTACCATGAATGACAGTGACCATAAAATACTAGAAGAGTAGATACATGGAAAATTACATGATAGGTTCATTGCTATTATAAACATCAGATGACATTTAGAAAAGTTTCTGTGTCACCTACTGTGCTTTATGCTTCTGGGGATTGTGTAGACAGCAAGATACATTGGATAAATAAGCCCAGGGATTCAGGACACAGAGCCTGTCTGTGCTACAAGAAAGCACTAGCTCTCAGTAAAAAGGTGCAACTAAATTACCCAGAACTTTGCTGTTGAAAAGACTTTTCCATGTCATCCTTCCAGGGACCATCCTTGTATCACATGTTTCATCAGATGTTTATACCATCTACCCTAACGATTCCACCACAGCAGCTTCTGCAGAAGGTGTTTTTCTAGAAAACAGCAAATACTTGTAGAACTTCAGTGGCGTTTTGCAAACAGGGAGCCAGTTCTCTCCTGTAACTCCCATGAAGTCAGTGTTCTCAGTCAGACAACATTTACAACAGGTTACATAATCTGACCTATGATCCTGCTCAAGTGCTACTGGAAATCCCTTCCAAAAATTATTACCCGGATTGGTTCTGTTCAGGTGTGGGGGTGCTAGAGAGAGGTGGCTATTTAACCTGAGGTCTTACCCTGTACTCTGATCTCACTTACTGTGTTGCAAATCTGGGGTTGTCCTAACAACACTACGCAAGAACAGAATTTTGATTGTAACGCCAATTTCTATATTATTTATACATTGACTCCCACATTACTAGCTCACTGCAGAATTTAGGCTGTTTGCAGGACCATATTCATATTGAAGTCGTTCAGAAATTTACCTGAAGGAGGAAAACAGAAATTTAGCTTTGATTTATAGGTGCATATTATTCAGAAATGCTCATGGATCCAACAGCGAAACACTTAACGAACAATGGACACCAGGAACACGGTCACTGATTTCTGCGAGATAACAGCAAAATGAGACTACTGCAAAAGTATCAGAATTTGTCCCTTGGTAAGTCTGCTATCATTGTAAAGGATCAGTATCCTAACAAGTGGTGTATATCCCCAGCAGAGTTGAACCTTCACATATTATGGACATTTAATCACTGTGTTACAGCAACCCTAGGCTGTCTCTCGGCTCTCCAGTTTCAGGCTTTCAGAGTCCTTCCTCATGAGATAAGGGGTCATGCTCCTCCCTCAGTGACATTCCTCTGCCTCTCTTTCCTCTATCAATGGACCTATTGGCTTATAATCAAAGAACACGTCGATATGCAAGCATCCTCAAAGAGTTTACTGCAGCAGTCATGTAAAAGGCTGTCTAGGTACATATTATAATCAGCTCTCACAGCCTGTACAGACATTGGGTTATTCCACAGAAAGCACTACGTAACAGAAATCTTTCCTGTCACCTCTGGCACTGAGCTGCCACCAGCAGTGCAGTTATTCACTCATTTTAATGGCTGCATCTGCCCAGCACAGTAATTATCTGCCCAGTAGAGGCAAGACAGTGAGAGCTGCCAGGTATCTTACTCTTGGGAGAAAAAAAATCGTTTTAATCCTTTGCAAGACAAATGTGTTGACAGGGGCAGTCAAACACAGCCAAATTCCCCAAGGAAAGAAATGAGTCAGGTATTTTAACACAGCACAAATGTCATTTCAGTATATCATTCAGTATATCAGGCATATACACAGAATTCTTCCTGCAGGTTTTTATGCCAGCCTCGGACTAACACATGGCTAGCACGTATTGCTCTGAAGCAGCTCGGTTTATCCTCTGCCTACCCCCCGGTTAGAGTGGTGGCCTCTGCTGCTGCTCCTCTGCTTCCTGGACCACACCAGAGTGCTCTCACAGCTCTCAGAGGCTGGGAGGGTGTTTTTGCTTCTCAGTGCACGAATTACACCATGATGGCCATGCAATCATCATCCAAAAAGAACAACAAAAAAGGAGTAATGCACTGAGTAGAAATTAGACTCTTGTCCTTGCTTGCTTTCTTGTTTCAAGATGTCAGACCAGTGAAGTTGGGCATCTCTGTATGATGTAAGTGACCATATAAACACTGCTATCATGTTAGAGGTATACCACTGACGAAATCTTGCACACGCTCTTTTAAGTCACCCTACATTACTGAGCTCATCTGGGGAAAGAACGTCTTGGGTCACACTGGAAGCCTGTCATTTTTCTTAATCCTCCCCCTATTCTGAACACCGTCGTCAGAGCTACGAAGGATTTGAGGACTCCCTCAGGACAGATTATACTGTGGAGTCAGCTCTGGCTTTTGGGACACCTGTTGAACCCTATCAGACATTTCATTTGAGTTCAGGATTTGGTTTATGCATTTTCTTGTGTAGATGTGCTATTCTTTTCAGCAGAGGGCACTGCAGGTTATCTCTATACCTATTATTTTTCCACTGTGTACCTCCATAGAAACAAACGTTTAAGAGGCGGGCAGCACTAGAGTTAAGATAGGTAAGGATTCTGGAGAATGGAGGCTCTTAAATGCATAGACAAAGTTTTGCTCACAATTAGAGAGGCTCACACTAAAAAGCAAGGGATGTTGCAGGAGCGTGGTTAAGATCGGTTCTGAATGTAATTCTGTACCTAGGACTTAACACCTTAGAACTAGACATAAATAGTAGATATTGTAACTCCTAAATTTCTTGCTTTTTTCATTTGTGTTTCACTTTTTCAAAATATTAACATTTTTGTAATTTTAAATATGTATTTCTTACTGTTCGTGCTACCATTTTTTTCCGTCAAGTCCTTACGCTCTAACAAGATACTGTTATCTACAGCTATAGACACATATAATAGGAATCCAGTAAAGGACAAAGAGGGTGAACGAAAAGCAAAAGCATGAAACACAGGCAGGAAAGCACGGTGACAGCATCAGAAAAACAGCCAAGACAAAATGTGCTGAGCCTTCTGTTACACAGCTGTGAACATGGCATGGCCATTGTGAGCACAATAATGAGTACAAAACAACTCTGAAACGGGTCACAGATACACGCTGAAATTTCGGGAACTCTAACTGCACACAAAGACTTGAACAAACAGACAGCCATTATCTGAAATAACTTCGTAATACCCATTCCAGTTCTCCCATTTCTTGTAATCATCTGAACTACAGAAAATGTGAACACTTCTTTTCTTTTTCTCTCCTGACTTTTTTGTTCTGGACTTGGACCTTCTCCTTCTCCTTCTCCCAGGATTTCAGTAGGATAATGTTGCATTTTCACACCTTCCTGGGCTTCTTTAGACATTCACACTTCCGGCAACACCGAAAGATTTCCATGTGAGTTTCCTGCAATGCCACTATATTTAAACCGTTAATTTTTCCTACCTAGTTTCAAGATTTACACAAGCCAATATGAACTACCCCAGCTCTGTACATCGGCTGGGGGTCTCCTCCAATGCTAACTATATACAGCTGTGAAGGTCATTATGCTGCAAGTAGTGCTGGAGAATAGCCTGTAAAATACATATCCACTTCAACAATTAGGCTGCCACGTTACAACTACCTCTATATTCTGTATGAAATACTATGCATAAGCAAATCAGCCTTTTTTTTCTGGCATGAAAAGGCAAATTCATAATGGTAATAGCATCAGAAAGACATTGGTACTGTTGGTAGTATTGCTGCATCAGAAAAAATACTGAGTCCACGCAG